CAATAACCACGACCCCTTTTCTCCCCACCCACTCCATCTGGTTGAGGCCTAGCACTGTCACGATGAGGAAGCTCCATTGTTATTCTGCGGCCCGTCCTCCCTCTCCTCACTAGCGTCTTTCCGGCGCAATCCTAAATTCATCTCGCTGGGTGGCGCAAAAACGTATTGGAGACAGTTCCAATTATTGTATGTAATCCCCTCCCCGACTGACAGGGGGTTTCTTTCGAAGGGAACGCAGTCAATAAGCTATGCTTTCAATTCTACGATGAACTTCACATATCTCCAGTTGGCAGAACGCTGAGGTGTTGAGAATCAACTTAGCAGGACCTGCTCAAGGCGCTTTCAGAAATGTTTCAGTGCGCCTGGACGAGAATCATAAGACTAGGCTGACGCGCCACTTGACGGCGTACTGCAATAGATTCAGCACTGCGTTCGCCATAGGACAACGTGATTCGACTGTTTAAAGGATGGTCACAAAAAGTATCGTGCTGCCATGCGGTTCTTTGAATGCTGCCTATTCTAGACTTATCGGTCTCAAGTGATACGAGAACGGCATACAGAACAGATTTATGAAGAGGCTGGTAAAAGAGATCTGTGGACACGATTACTTTAATCACAGTAACTATGCTTTTTCTTCAGAGATTGGGAGTGTGAAAAACCAATAGTAGTGAAAATGCGATTCCCAGGTGGCATATCAAAATAAGAGGAGGCGTTCACCGGGAGAGGTGTATTTGAGGTCTGACGTTTCGGGTAGTCGTTTCTTCTACCCATCTTCATAGACTGGGCAGTCATGCACACAGCATTCCTTTTATGGCGCACTTCGTTTGATGCCTGGCTCACCAATGCCGCCTGTGCGGCTGCATCTGACCCGCATGTCACCGTGACCTGAATCCCGCCCATCTTGGTCGATCGCGGCGATAATTGACGGCCCCGATTGTCCCACACCGTGACTGTCCCCCGTTTCAATGTCCGTAAAACCAGATAGGGAGGAGGCAAATTGGTGTGGCGGTTGACAGAACAGTCGGTAGTAATCCAGGCTTCTTGCACCTGCTTTGCCGTATGATCATCACCTCGGCGCACAATTTCAACAGCGCCAAAGTTGAAGACGTGTCCCAGTTGGGCGGCACGGGTTGCTACCTCCGACTTTGGTCCAACCTTCTCACGTCCAACTTATGCTCGTGCTTGCACGTTTGCAGCCGTCGGCCGGTTTCCCCAACGTAGTTACACATTCCGCAGCTGCACTGTAGTCTGTAGACAACAGCCGATATCTCCTGCTTAGGGATAGGGTCTTTTGGCCGCATCACTTGCCGGCGGATTGTGGAGTCGGGCCTGTGGGCAACGCCTATTCCGAGCGGCGCAAGGGATCTGACTACGGCTTCGGGGACCCCTTCCATTTATGGAATGTTCCGCCACGATTTTGGCTGAATAGGTTCTTCATTCCGCTTCCTTGCTTGCTTTCGAATCCGTTCAACGAATGTTCGCGGATAGCCGTTGGCTCTGAATTGTTCTCGAAGGAGCTTCATCTCCTCCAGTTTGGCGACTGGAGTGCTGAAATGAGCTTCCACCCGTCGGTATAGCGTGCGTACACAGCTTCATTTGTGTTGCAGTGGGTGGTTGCTGTTGTAACTGAGCATTTGCAGCGTGTTCGTCGGTTTTCTGTAGACTGACGTCGCCAGTTTGCCGTCTGGTTGGCGGCAGATGAGAACATCGAAAAATGAATGTTTTCTCTCCACTTCTTCTTCCCTCGTGAACTGTAGGTCGGGGGTGATTGAGTTCAGAAGTTTTTCAAGGTAGCTAATTTTATCCTAATGGATGATTACGAAGGTATCATCAACGTAGCGCGCCCAACACTTGGGTTTGTATTCCCCGAACAGTCGTTTCTCGAGTTTTTGCAGAACGGCCTCGTCAATGAGTCCGGAGATTGGTGAACCTATCTGAGTGCCCTTAATTTGCTCGAAGGTAAAAAATGTCTTGAGGCAGTGCCCCATGAGTTCTATGAGATCCTGAGCTGTGGACTGGCCATCGCCCTCGTCGTAATTCTGACGTAGCAGGCCACTGAGCGTTTCGACCGCAGGGGCCTGTCGTATGGACGTGAAGAGTGAGGCGACGTCAAATGACACCATCCTCTCATTCGGTTCGATCGTGACCGCCCTTTTTTGTCGAGGAATTGCTCTGTTGAGTGTACCGTTGTTTCTGAGTCCGCGGTTAGGAATCTTAGCTTCTGAAACAGCCAATTTGCGAGCCCGTACTTGGGTGTGCCTCGGAGTGGGGTGATTGGTCGGAGGGGAACATCCGGCTTGTGTACCTTTGGAAGACCGTAGAATCTCGCCATCGGTGTTTCTGTGGGCTTTGATATATACCACTCTTTGACGCTGAGAAATCCAATTAGCTGTTATTAGGTTCATGTCAATTATACAAACAATAATTTTGGCATCTGCACTAGGAGTGCCGAGCGATAACCTATCAAATATTTCTCTCCTCTCCCATGAAGATGAAAAATACCGTCATCAATTCCATCCTTCCCTGCTGCATCGACACTAGCTTTGAACGACTAAAGCGGATAAAGCTTCCTATAGTTGTGGGCGAAATAAACTGAATTGTTGTCACTTGCTTGATTGGCACTTCCATAGTCACTAAATCTGTGTCATTTTGAATTTAGCAGCACGCGTCTTTAGCCAACATTTAACGTTTAAAAGTTTTACCTTGTCATTTTCGAAGTAGGTAAAGCATTTCTTAAAACCGAACAATGGATTAAGAAATAGTGAATTGGCGCTTCTGGATCATCTTCGTCTTCTCGTTGATCTCGCCTCACCATAATTTGCTGGTCATTTGCGTTCACCAGCGTTATTATATTCTAATTTTGACATCTGTCGAGGCTTCACTCAACAAAATACTATGCACCTGCTCTTTTAAGCCAGAGAGGCCCACTCGCAACCTTCTTGTCTTTGGGAAGAATCATATAAGTAGCATTTCACCCCGATTTTTATTAAAGATTTCGGTGAGATCGCAGTTGGTAGCCAGATATTATACATAGATACTGTCGACACACGTACTTGTTATCAGTAGGTGTGCAAGATTTCTCGCCATGCAACCATACTTCGACCGGATAGCAGTGAACTATATCAGTGAAAAGGCGCGGTCAACAAATATTATGCCAGAAAAAGGCGGCCGACCTCATGAGACAGCGCGAAAAATATTTGTGGCCCACCAAATGGGAGAGCATTTAAGTATAACTAATCCAGATGTGGTGCTTTTATAATGGTTGCGATAACTACAAGCTAGAGAAATTTAGTATAAAACCTTAACCAGAACAGTCATATGTATATTTAAGTAGGAATAACTACCTGCCAGGATCACGTAAAACATGCATTTACGGGATAATTCCGTAGTTTTCCATATCGAATGCAACCATTCCTATTTGGGATCGTACCAGCTTCCTACACTGATCTCGTTCAATACAAACCATTAACCAGGCAAGATGCTTTTCTTTGGCAATTAAATATCAAAGTTTATCTTTGCAAGAGCTACTGGTTTATGATTTTTAATGTTTAGACGTAGCAGCCTTCTGAAAATTACAGATTTTCAAGACACGATATCTCTTCCCTATGTCATTGTGATTTTCAAAACATTCCTTATGCATGTTCTAGAAATTAAATTTCTACTTCCTGCCTTATGGCTACAGTGACATCGCGAAACCCTCGAATTAGTATGATATATTCGTAATTGATGATATGAAAATCGTTGTGGGTAACTCATATATGACCGAGGTTGAGGAGTATGATCAAAATGCCGCCAAGTGTGGGCACTCCAGACCACCCATTTCATACATCCAAGTAGCAATTTCTAAGAGAACGAATGCACCCACAAAATATCTAAAAATTGTCGTTTCCCATTTCGATAGCCATAGAGTTGATTTTCATTGAGACACGGAAGTATGAACCGCATACAACGCTGCATCAGCTACTCTCGGGGAGTTAGAATGTCCAGGCTACATATGAGACCGTCAATGCAAAACATGTCAGCGTATTAATTTTCCTGTGATTATGTGTCCTTCCCCTGGTAGTTGAGTGCTACTTACACAATCCTTCTGGTGTGGAGGACTGTGTAATTAGTCGGCCAATTATTCTACAGTCTTTCCCCCAATAATAAATGTAAGGAAAATTTCTGTCATTGCGCACTAATTCATTAGGAAAGGACTTCCGTGATAAAGACCCCGATTTTTAGCAAATCTGACACCTACTCGACCCAGCTGTGAAAAATTTGACGGCCTAAGGGGATTTTGAACCTACGACAGCAGGAGCAACGCTTCGTGTACAGCCAGCGCTCTAGCCAACTGAGCCATGAGGCACGCCCGGGAGCCATGAGTTTAATCACATTTGGGTCGAGGCCCCGAAGCTCGGGGTGCTGGAACGTTGGCTGTATACGAAGCCTAGTCCCTGCTGCCGTGGGTTTTAATTCCATCGAGCCTTCCGAGTTTTTCATAGTTGAGTCAGAATGAATTATTCAAATCTGCCAGAACACCTACTAGATACGACAACATCCACCTGCCCTAGAAGTTTGAAGCTGTTGGAAGAAACAGTCATGCCTATGATATTTACGTAGGACCACTACTGGTCGATGAACTGATTTATTTACTGTGGTATTAAAGGATGGGACCTGATTGAAGATGGTTATGTAATTTGAAAATAATGGTTAATGCTTGCGACGCTTCGGAGGAAACAAAACCTATATTAAGACAGAAAAACTGCTAGTTCCGAAATATACTTCATGTCCGCGTCAATACTTCCAATAGACGCATATGACCATGGGCACACAGTAAAAAAACGTTGCAAATAGAAAGGCTGACTGAACTCAGACATCCTTTTGACACTGACGTAATGTACGCAGGAAAATACGTGGAAAATGTCAAGGCTTGCATGAGAGGAACTTTACTGAATGTGGGCCTTAAAGGGATTGCTGTTTACTGATATTGAAGCATCTGACTATGAACTCCGAAAATTGTGAATCACACTGGCTAGGTGACAGAACAGTTCTATCGCCTGGAACGAAAAAGTCCACCGCGTGGCTACGAGAGTGGACAGTACACCATCGAACAACGCATGAACCAGTTCGAAACGCGACAGACTTGCGCAGCATCTACCGCACTCTTTTCTCCCGCTTGAGCGTAGTGGGTGACAGAGCCAAAGAGCTCGTTTACGTATGCCAGACAACTTGTAACATAGTTTTAGAAGGGCGACACGAATGTCACATGATAGACAGTGCCGTAAAGGTACGTAAAGGCGGAGCAATTGCAGCCTGACTTCCAGTCCTCCAATCAGAAAACCTTATCAGGGATTTTTATGTGCATCCTCTCACATTCCGATTTTGGCATGTCATATGTGGCCGCTTCTTCATCCTGTTTAAAAATAAACCCCTCACCAATACAAGCAAATGTCCGAATTTCATGTGCATATCCTAGTATTGTGGATGAAAATTGGTAAGATACAGATGTTAAGGCATTCTTCATCATCCTCTCTCACGTAAATTTATCGCAATAAGTGGAATATAGAGTCGCCGCAGGGTTTCCGTGCCTGTTTTAATTTTTTTCGAACGTACCCTGAATGTATTTGCGCCCAGGTTTATCCATATGTTTAATTTCTCTACTTTTATTTGCCATTGATCTACGGTTCCCTTTCAATCTCACTTTGTTTCTGGGTAACCATGTCTGAAGATCTTACAGGCGGTCGTATGGCGACGACATATTAGTAATTGGGAGGTGTGGAAGGCACAGACAGGTTGAGAAGAATGACTGTTCACAGGCATCTCTCTGTGACGGTAGCAACTTACGCTGTCTTCACTGAAAGTCAAGGCAAATGAGCGCGTTCGTATGTAGTCAGACAAATAAGGCAAGTCAGTGAGCACCACCTCCATTTGATCACATATACCCACTCCGAGCTGCCATACCATGGGCCTTTGGCTTACCGGCAGAATGTCTGTGTAATACCCATCTGAGCCCAAGGTCAGGGCTTGGTTTCTGAGCTTGGAGTTAAGGTACGATTGGCGAACGAAGTCAATTAAACCAGAGAGAATCATTGAAGTCTATTTGGCCTTATTCGATGGCACATCTGGAGACATTGCGTTTGCAATCCTATTGCGTGTTTTTCTAGCCCTATCCGTGCAAATACGACAGCCGACAAAGTCGCGACTCCTACCTCGTAGTGTCCACGCTAGGTCAAGCCAGATGACTCAGAACGACCTTCAACAGTTCAACTGTGCAGAAAAACCGAGATATTGCCATAAAACATGATTGGGTTGTGCGAATGGACCAGAACAAGAACTAAAAGGAGGCATTGCTTGAGTAAACTGGGAAGGAATTGAAATTCGTGGAGAAAATTCCTCATATCTTTTGCCATCAAAATGTCTGATTTATCTCTTAATTTCACAGCATTAGAAGAGGTACTGTGCGTGTACGTGCGTTCGCTGCAACAATCAATCGAATATATGGGTGCGGTGGCTTCTACCCAGCTAAAATTTTGTTGCATTCTTTGCTTCATCGTCATTACCCTTTCTTGTACCACACTAAAACGCAGTTTAATCATTTTAATTCTGCTTTTCCCCTCCATTCGAGACTTTTTTCTTATGCTACGTATTTCTTATGTGGCCATTAACTTTCACGAACTTTCCTCCTCTACTACCTCAGTCTTTCTGCTCCTTTACTCCTCCCTTCCTTCCTCCTTCTCCTTCTCCTCCTCCCCCCTCCTCCTCCGCCTCCAGGCAACTCTCCAATCCTCTGCAGTTTTACTTTGTGCTCTTACTGACTTCTTTCTTCATACTTTCCTCTCAGACACCACGAACTTATCTCTTAATATTCCGCCCAAGTTCCGCCCAAACAGTCTTCTCCTTACTCTCATGTTCTCAGTTTCCTGTACGTTATCCTTACTGCCCGCCCTTCTCAAACCAAATTCTCTCTTCAGATCGCAGAGGCTAGTACTAATCATAGGCTGGTAGCACAGAGCGAGCGAATGGACAGAAAAGACGGAAGTTAAGTTGAGAGAGCACTCATCAATCAGTCCAGCAGGCTCTCTCTTTCTCTTCCGGATTAACTATGGACACCTGCTCACCCTCTAGCCCAGTCCTTCCGATCTTATGCATGCTGAGGGTAATCTGACGTGTGACTGCTGAGGAAGTTGGAACACGGGTGAACGGACCCGCATGTTGGATAGTCGACCAGGATGTCTGCCGAGGGAGGATGCATAGGAGGGAGGGGATCATGACATCAATGTTACGAACTCATTTGTACTGACGAGCACCGGTGGGCGCTCGTGCGTTATGCATGCTGAGTCACACATCGACCACCCTGAGGATCTCGCCTTCCCTCCCATTTTTGCACCTATCTTGACTTAGAGGTCCAACTTAAGGCGCATGCGTCCATGACCCCTGGACTAAACTCCCAACCGGAGAGATTAGTGACATGTTTTCTGCTGTGTAAGGCATTGGGTGCTGTGCCAGATGATTCGAGAAAGTAGCTGTCACTAAGATTGAGGTGTATACGTAGTATGATAAAAAAAGTTGAGGCAGCAAGGTTAAACGATCATAACTGTGCCTCAAGGTCCAAGGGCGGTCTGGTATAAGTATGCAAGGCTTACGGGCAAGATAGTTAAACGTATTGCATTTTAGTCAACCAAAAGGAAACATAGTGGTCTCAAAAAATCTTTAAGGGAACCTAAAACTGTTAATTACCGGTAACCAAATTCACAACTTACTTTGCTTTGGACAGATCCTCAGTCAGCCTCAGCTAACCTTGGTTTTCGTTAAAACACACGACCAACCTACATACCCTTGCCTTCAGTTTCATACTAGATAAACGAGTGAGCGCCATTTGGCCCAGAAAGAGAGGATATCGCGAAATTCAGGGGGACTAGAAAATGCTTATCGCGAGACTTTACTGTACGCCCAAACATCTTCCACTGTCGCCAGTGTGCATCATGGACTTGGATCGAACGGCGGTAGTGAGTGACCTGGCTCCTTTTTTTGCCTACCTGTACGGTGTCCAGAACTCGATTTCTTGGGGCAGCGAACTCATCAGGAAGGCGCCTTAAGATCCAGCTGTCTCTAGATACGGGCGGCACAAGGTTTCTAGAATGGTGATCGCGGTTTGTTGAAGGGGCAAGTAGCTCCGAGGAAGCTGCCATCAGCCTCATGGCTAATGGCGATCTTTGGTAACAGAGTACGTCTGAAGTAAGCTTTTCATTCTATGCAGGCGAAAAGCTGGAGGCTGGCAGTTATCCTAAATCAAGTGTCTTGTCCGGCGCGTGCGTTAACACTCATTTTTAGGGGAAATTGAAAAGCTAGGGGTCAGTGGCAAAACTCCAGAGGCATTCTTCAACAAATACACCGCGAACACTTTCACTTGGAAACTTTGGTTAGGGCCTGCATTATTCACCACTTGGACGAATTACCGTTTTGTCATCGAAGTCAAGATGCTCAGCCCGGTATCTCCCACTATCATTGCGGAAAATAGGAGTAAGATAGCCATTCAATACTATTTCATGCTAACTTTCACACAGCCGTGGAGGTAACACATTACATGCGCAAACTACTCTCTCGCTGAATTTTGACATCCTACATCCGCGTGCTCGAGTTCCATATGTAACTACTTCGAAACATTGTTTGGGCCAGACATAGAAACTTTCCACTACAGCTACTTGTGAAATTATAGTCAGAAAACCCAATATGAAGCAGATTAACCCATTCAGTAACGTCGAATACCCACACCTGAACAGTTGTGGTGGGTCGAACTAAAAAGATTTGATGGCAAATAATGAGAGTTTCCGGTGTTCGAGAGTGAACTTAGTTTTCCCGTCTAAATCACACTAATTGGGTAGGGTAAAAGATGTTAACACGTCACACACACACACCCAACTATTCACAACGCAAGCTGACGCCTTTTTTCCGGTATGACAGGGCTCCCTATGCACTCTGACCGGCAGTGCTTCTGGTATTACGGTGGATCAGCTGTCGTAAGTCGGAAGAAGGTTGCGTAGTATAAATGTTGACTGAGACGTCCGATGTCAGCAGACGCAGGAGATCCAACACAGTTGCCAAAACTTTTATACATATTCGCATAGTCGTGAGACTGTCAAATGCTCCTCCTGGAAGTTTATGATGGCCTGACTTCATACTGATTTTTTGAGCTTTGTAGTGGAAGACTCAATTAAACCTTTTTTTGGAGACTTTTAACTTTTTCTCAACTTTCTGTTATATCCCCTTCCCTAAAATTTTACTCGGAAATTCTGAGACCCCTTATTGGTGAGACATGTCATGTCTAATGAAGTTGCTTGCTTAGTGCCATGACGTGTAGGCTTACGGTTTCCGTCCCGTCGGATACTTCTACAGCAAACGACAAAGTCCGCGCAACAGCAACCAAAATACTTTTAAACGGACTAAAAAGGAAGGATTACCTAGTAGTGTTTGCAAAAACCAGCCAGCATAGAACAGCACCCCGACCCCAGACGCACACGTTGTAATGCCAAATTTTTATCGATATCTTCCAAACAGCGTCGTAAAAGGAACTCCGAATTATCTGTCCCAACATAGTGCGCTTTCCTCTCATAACCTTTGGATGCCTTTAGAATTCAGTCACATTTCACACAAAGTATGCATAAAGTTTCTTTTTATGAGACTTTCAGTACTTAAACGGGCTTTTCCGTTGTTATGCAAGACTAAAAACGGACCACATTGTCTTATAGCATGCATTAGTCGGCCTGCGCTGAGTTTGTGTGTGGTCTTTACTACTGCCATGAATGTGCATCAAGCGTTAGGCGGAAACCTTGCGCCAGGTCAGTCGCTGTGCCCAGTCGCACCTTCGGACGACCGACAGACGGGGACAGCACGTTAGTGCGTGAGGATAGGGTGAGTGTGATAGATGATGAGGGGCCAATCGGCATGGCAGCTCTGAGAATCCCTCGCTATAACAAATAAGATGTGTATGTCCTACGAATATTTCCATCCTACACTTGGAAAGTCAAATTTGGAAAGCACGTATTGCCTGCAAATCATCAGCGGGCCGATACGATTACATAGAAATTGAAACTTTGGGAAGTTAACAGAGGTTATTAACGCTCATAGTTCCCATGACACTCGAATTACGACGCGCTATGATCATTGGGCACGGGACGGTGATATAGGCTGTGAATGATGTTTGTAAGCCGGGTGCACATGGAGTACACATCACTGTCATCAGGGGGTTAGGGCGCTGTGTGATAACCATCCGGGGTCGGTGTCGACCACGGAAGACGGAGCGCCTGTGTCAAGGTCTTCTGACAACATAGCACTGGATTGGCCAGCCGTATAGCCCCTACCTCGGCTGTAGTTAACATCCGTTGGCTTAGGCCTCTGGATAGGTTTTTTGTTGTACGGTAGACAACCTGAAAGGCTCGAGAGTGGTGAGGCATGCTTAAAGTCATGGATTCGAAGGTTGTCAACTGACTGGGCAACTTTGTCCTTCTTTGAAACAGGAGTCGGATTGTAATTGCTCCTTACGTCCCCTCTTACTCATATGTTTCACGCGACAGATGACTACTTTACGTCGCGTTAGCCAATGCGTCCATAACGCCCCCAGTGGAATTGAATAGCGCGAATGTCTGGGACACAGCTGAGGTAAGAGCGAGTGAGGTCTAACCATCTGGAATCTAATGTTTCGTTCCTCAGAATGAAAGATAAAATTCGTTTTGAAACTATCTCGACCCACTAATAGTAGTGACCGATAAGTCGCCAGCTGACGGGTTCGACCATCGTGCCGGACGATGTCCACCGTGTGCTCCACAGTAAGGTGAGGCAGGCACGGTGACTTGCACGTAAGTTAGTTTATATTGAATGTAGACTTGTGCAGCATCTACCACGTTCGCTCCTTCCCTCTACCTGAAGCCTGTGTCAAGTCGTAGTCAAGAAGACCAGAGGCCTGGTAGAGCACAGGTGGCCGGCAGAGCGGGACCCGCACCTAGGCGTACAGTCACACTTCCTGGTCCACAACAAACACCTGACCAGGATTTTGACCAGCACCGTTACCCCAGCGGGTCAGGAGGACGACGAGAATGACTGGGCAGCCATGCTCACGACCTGAATACCCAGCGGGAGCGCAAGCGCATCTACCGGAGGGGAACCAGGTGTCAGAACTGCCAGCCATACCAGACTGCTATGGCCATTGTTTGCTGATCCTGGCATAATAGGCGCTCACAAACTGAGTGTCAGGCTGCAACGGATCCTGCTCTGTGTGCCCCTTTTGCCACTCTCGATTACGTGAAATTAAAAATGCATTTTTTAAACTGGTGCTTGTGGTGCTAGGGGCCAAGTTGGGTGTGGTATAGGCGAACGGGGTAATTGGCCTTACTGACCACCAAATCCACACCCATTTCATGTTGTCTTGATTTTGTCCAGCCACTGAGCCGTGGTGGGTGTATGAAGAGAAAATGGGGTGGATGAGTCCTGAGACGGCTCCAATTTGAGTTACATCGCGCGTGAAGAAATCGCTACACCCTTCTCGCATAGGGCTGGACCTAATCTCATGTGGTAACTGACTTTTTGGTGGAATTTCCGTCTTTTGTAAACAAATTTGTAGTTGTCCGGAAGCTTTACTTAGCTTTTGACTATCTGAACACTTGCGATGCTGACTCCAAGTGCCATGTAGCCTGCCATCCCGAGCTTTGTAACGGTACTTACAAATCATACGACGTATTCAGTGGTTTCGGCCATGTGTTAGAGGAAAGATAAATATGTAAAGGAAGATCTTAATATTATTCAGAGGAAATATGTAGTGTGCTTTTCAGAAACCGTGCGAGTGGACGTTCAACAGATTATTATAACAATAACCCAGTATCAGGTGACAATCTGAAAGCCAAAATACAGTTATCCTTCGACTGAAATATTTAAGAAGGCATCAATTTTGACGGTAATAAGCGTTCGTAGCATAACGTATAACTGTTTTACGTGGTATTAAGTGCACAAATTAACGCAAATTCACGCGAAACGTGCATGAAAAGTAAGCAGTAATTTTTGCAGATTACCGTCAGCTGGGTAGGTAGATAGATACCACAGAAAAAGTTAACAGTTTGGAGTTCATGACCGGCCTTGTATATGCATTCCGCGTTAATCAACCTTATAGCCTAACCTCGGTAATATTTGCCTTCTAAAAGTGCATCGAAAAGTTTGCGTCGACGTTTCATGCATTTCGATGCGTGATTGTGTCTCTCTAACGTACGCTTTGACTTCAGTCAACCATACTTACGTAGGAACGATCTGACAGGTTGACGTACTTTCTCGACAGAGCTGATATTCCTTAGCAGTGTGCTATCCCAGGGAAGCATCGGTTTGTGTTTTTCTTTCGCTCACTTTTTGTCGTCCTCGTCATCCCCCGGTAGCCGACGGAGAGCATCATCTAATCCAGAGGTGGGATAGGGGTTAAATTATATATTTTCCAAGACTGTTGGTGAGACCCCACATACGAGAAGTTTCTATGAAACTGTCGAAAATGCGCTAGCAATGAGATTTTAAGTAGACACTTGAAATGCAGCGTTTAGCATAGGAGATCATAAATGAGTTGTGAACGGCCTTCAGCATCGAATTCTAACAGCGCAGTTAGTCAACCGATGCATCTACTTAGTAAATTAGGTGCACCCTGTTATTGAGTTTCCATACTGTTTCGTTATATGTATGTTCACGTGATAACAAACCTATATGACATCATTGACTAAATTAGCCACTGTTTGACATGACTTGAGCTATTCCTAGGCCCTTTGACTTTTTAACTTTGAAGAGGATCTCACTTATATTAACTTGAAAGCGGCAGTAGCAGTCAAGGCCTATCCCCAGGCACTATCCCATAGCCTTATCGAATCCCGTCATTTAGTTTAAAAAACGATGTACAATTTCTAGCATTGCTCGATGTGCCTTTAGTCCTCTGAAGCGGAAGTTCTTTAGCTGTACGCGAGGCTCTCTTCCATCCTGCTGGTGAGAGGAAATCTGTAAAGAATTCAATCCAGAAGCTTTTCAATAATGGACGAGAAGATGACACCCGCGTATTTGCCGAAACTCGTCTTCCTGTCCTTGATAATAAAGCGGGAAGCCAGTATTTCGCCTCTGGTATCTTTGCGACCGCTGTATTTATTCAACAGATCCTGGGAGCTTTTGAAAGAATTAAAAGCTAAGACAGCCTGCTATTCAGGAGGCATGTATTTCTACACTACTTTTACTACGCCTGTAATTGTGTTTGTCGCGCAAAATTTTCCAACATACCAAAATCCCACTAGCTTCCAAAATATCGCTGGAGGAACCTACGATATTAAAGTGTTAAGATCCTTGAATTCCTCCTCTACACTAGGTCTGCATTCCGAAAGACGTTGAAATCCGATTAAATTTAACGTTATTGCATGAATGCACACCAAAATTGCACTTTTTGAACGAATTTTAGAAAGGAGACTTTTTAATCTCTGCATTCCAAACTGTCGGAATAGTTTCAAATTTTTGTTTTCTTTTGTGGGCTTCGTACTATCTCTTCTTGCTTTTCGCAAACAAAAACGAAGACTTGAGTCTTGGAAATAAGTGAAAATTTAGTTAAACTAAGCGCGAAATTCAAAAGGTCAGAAATTTGTACAAATATGGATAGGCTGAAGTATGGAATAGAAACTGTATTCTCCGACACTACCGCGAATGAGTTGTGTAGGGGGAGGAGAGGAAGTTCGTCAGTATAAATGGGCACATACAGACAGGCAGGGAAAAAAGGCCTGAATAATAACCTGCGCACATCTCATCGCAAATTATTGTGGTAAAAGTCTTGACAGAGCAGACTGGATGCATAAAGTTGTATGCGTGCATACGCATGGGTGTCTTTGCCGCTGTAGTTAGTACTGGTCGGGGATGTTAATAAGCATGGAGAAGTAACTGGAAGGAGCGGAGTGGGGACTCTCCCGAGATCAAAGGGAAACTATCTACCCCTTTGCGTCTTGAGTATTCTATCCGTTGTCAAGTGGCAGGAAAGGCAAATTTTTGAACTGAGGTGACATTACCTGATTTAGTTTCTACCACCCTCATCGGAAACTCGGGAAAGGGACTCATATAGTGATTAATGGAGTTGGTGGACCCCGGGCCTTCGCTGTTACTGACAGCTGAGTATTGATCAAAGGACAGCTCAGTGGCTACCGAGGGTGCCGGATGTCGCCAGTACGGAATTGTCCCGACGACAGCTGCAGCGGCGGTGGCAGCGGGGTAACCACTGAATGTGGCCGTTTGAAATGCAGGGATGCCACTGTAGTAGAGATTGGAAGGTGGTGATGTAGTTGTCTGTTGGACCAGTCGCAAGTTCCGTTCCGTCAGTTGATTTTCACAGCTCCCTGGACGCGGCAGGAATGAAACCTCCTGCGTTCCCTCAGAGGATTGTGCATAGGAGTGTGGGTCAGGCTGTGGGACTCCGAAGTTGGAAGAGTGGTGTCCGATAGTGTTTGTGGTCGTCGTGGTGTCAAGAGCAGTCAGTGCACCACTTCCTGTCTTGCTACTGCTCCCGCCCTTTAGGATTCGCTGTTCTGTCGAAGAGCTAAGGCCGTCTGCTCCCTGTCGAGGCATTCGCACAGGCGGTGACAGCGGTACCGCCTTCCCATTAGATGCAGGACCTATGCGGCTAACACCCAACTTCTCGTTGGCTGACATATTCTGGTAAGCGGAAAGCTCTTTCTTGCCGGCGGTTCCCCGGCCCTGTGAGAAGAAGGAGGCGTGACTAAAATTGTGTGTCCGCGCTCCCTGGGCTGCGGAGTCTCCTCTATCCCGACCCCGGCGACATAGCAGAAAGTAGACTGAACCACATATGGCCAAAACAATGAATCCAATGGGCACGACGAAGTAGACGACGATGTTGTGGGTGGAAATAATGAAAGGCTCTAGAGAGATAGAAAACAGGCATTCGGTAGGTCCACGATCCCAAATAAACTGCTATCAAAAGAACTGAGCTTGTTATCAAAATATGGAGTAACGGCCAAAGGCACTGGAACCTGTGCACGTTAAGACTGCTTCAATAAGCAATCCGGCTCCTGTGTAAGGACTTTATTTGGAGATTAAACGTGCTGGTTAAACGACAGTTAATGTTCGTTTGTGCGCAAATAATCGAGTCCATATATGTGAGCATAAATACACCAGGTACCCTAGTTAACCGACAGATGACCCAGGAAAAATGTAAGAGAACTTGCAAAACCAACAACGGTGCCTGTATTTTATAAATTCAAATCAGAAAAACAAAAGATCAAGTAATTGTTTCGCTGCCTGATGAGAACAAGTTATAAGACAGTTAAGCCAATTTCTAAAGGCAGTCTAGTTAACGCAAAGAAATTGGCCGATTGTGCTCTTAACCGTAGGCTCTTTTCAAGTTGCGTGATTTGCAAAATGCTATCTGGTAAAAGTTCGGTAGAGCCTGCTTAAAACATAGTGAAGGGAAATACTTACTGGGAATGACCTCAACGTAGACCACGCCATACTCGATAGATTTGAGGTTAGCGCGACTCATTGTCATGACAACGTACTTGCCAGCATGTCGTTCGCTGCTGACTGGGGCGGTAAGTTGTAGTCGAGACACGAATATCTGCTCTTCTGGTGTCTCAACCCGTCCGGCGATGTCAGGAGGATATTCGACACTGGGATGATCGGATACAATTTTACTAGCGGCAGCGTCCTCTGTTTGATCCGTGCCACCTGAGTCATTTTCATCACCCATCGTTACTGTCACCTGTCCCTGTTGGTGCTGGTAAGTGCGTTCAGTAAAGACCGAGGCCTCGATCCATCTCTCGAGTGTAACATAGAGTTCATTGGCCTCCGACTCTCGCGGTGTAGGCAGCGGTACGAGGGACTTGCCAACCTTCTTGTAGGCTTCCACTTCATGTGGTTCCACGCGTTTCAGCCACTGAAAACAAAAGTTGGACAAATTTTGGCCATTAGTGTTTTTCTGGAGACTAATTTCCCAATTTTCTGGAAGAAAGACTGCATATTTTAAATTCACGCCTAAGGCTTCTGCAAAACTGTCATTATCATTTGTCCTTTTCCGGAAGTTTTTTAGTCCAAGGTATTGATTTGAGAGTCTGGTTAACAGGAAAGGTACCTCCCGTGTAGGACCCACTTTAAAAGGGACAGAATCAAGCAGTCGTTACTATATTCGATTAATAACATTGTGAACTGACCACCCTATACACCATATTTGAATAGGCGCTCTGGTACTGCCGGATAACTAGGACCCCTGTGATGCACCAGTCTTTACTAATTAGGTTTTGACCTCCAAGTTGGGGCGCTGGTGACCGTATGTCACCGTGGACGGTTGGCACTCGTCCCTTTCCCACATATCTGTTGACCACCTCACTCTATCTAACCATCTCCTCCCCCCATAACTGTCGGTCCTATACTCCACCGCTTCTTCCGTCGTAATTTCCTACAACAATGTGCTCCCTGTCGCGGTGTACGCCAGATAGTCAAGAATCTCATTCCCTGATCGACCACATTTGCAAGTCCCACCCTTTCGTGCTGCTGATGGTTCAACCGTCGTTGCCGAGATGACCACGGTATGCTCAACAACAAGGTGAAGCAGACACGGTGACTCGCGCGTGATTTAGTTTATAATGAGTGTACACTTTCACAGCATCTATCGCACTCCCTCCTCCCCCACCTGGACCCGGTGTCAAAACAGAGTCAAGAAGACCGGGGCGGGGGAGAGCTCAGGTGGATGGCACGGTCAACCCCGCACATTGATCGTACTGTTGCCAATAGTTGCTCTGGTCCCATCGCCATCTCCGCTATCAGCACAGCACACAACGTCCCAACGTGTCCTCATACCGATCACATACTTTCATCGATCTAGTCGGTCAGCTGCCAATCCACGGCGTGAAGAAGGGGTGAGCGTTGCCCGAAGACCGACCTCTATCTGTTTCACTGTCGACCCTGTTCACGCTGAGATCGCGCATTCGGACACCGCACGGGACTAATCAGCTATATGCACATTAAGTTTTTGGCCTACCTCTGGAAATGATAACCGAAATTCTGAGGTGTTTTGGTTGGAAGGGATTACTTAAGTGGCGTTGTAATTTTCATTATCATAAAGACTAATCCCAAGATATTTCAATCATGCGATGATGACGGATTTTGAATGAGATCCCTGCTGACCGTGTTCAAGAATCACGTCAGTCAAAAACTGTTTAGTAATATTTATTTTCCCAGTAATTTTCTGTCTTTCAAAGAAAGCGTGCAAGAGATTATTCTTTCTCGTTTTAAATTGATAACAAATTGCGCCTTCTTCAAATTGTACAATTTAAGAAAGGTTATGTTCGTTCCAAAACGTCGGAATTATGAGAAATTTTAAGGTCATCGAATGCTCATCCATACAGCACCGTATGTGTCGTTTATTAGTGCTCCCTATTAATTTTGTCACATTATCCACATTTTTTGCAAAATTTTGTGAGCTCTATAGAGCATCTTCCCAATAGGGTAGGGTAATATCTGCTTCGACCTGCACGGAAAGTGGCTAGTATGAAGTCTGAAAACCCTAAACGCAAGTGCAACTGCAGGTCAAGCTCAAAATTATCCAGGAGTTGAAAATGTTTTCGAAACCTAAAGATATCCTTTTTCAAGAATGCAATTTTAAGAGCACATAATTTATAGCACAATAGTAGAGGGGACAATATTTTTAACAACGTTTTCTATAAGCTATATTTGCATTTATGAGGATATCGAAAACCAATGTGAAACCTCATACTAAATCAACATTCATTTTTGCTGAGTGCCGTCTTTGTAGGCCGCCGGGAAAGAGCTCATTTCATAGTCGGCACCCTCATGACTGAAATATCTTGAGATTATGTTGCGCGATTATCCATATTACGACTTCCCATTAGGAGTCCGTTCTAATCGAAAACAAATGCCAGAATTCGTGTTGAAATTTTTATGTAGGCCAGACAGTGTACATGGAACCTTCCCAGCAAGAACCGCAGCTCAGACATCCCTTGGGGCACTGCGCCCAACAGGCATATACAAACACAACTCACACATGGGCTACGGCGTAGTTGTATTAGACCAGAACTGTGGCCACACTGACGCATGTTTATCCTGCCGTGACGAGCCTCTGGCTACTGCAGACGGAAGATACCACGCTAAGTCCGTCATTGCACTGAATCTCATCATTAGTTATTTGACAGTTTCGAGCAGTTAGGTGGCGCATGGAAGATGGGGGACAGAGTGAGGTCGGTGCTGAAGACACGAAAATAAACCTGGCACGCTCTAACATATCACGACTCAATACGCGTCGTAACTTCAAAGATAGCCAATTGACGAGATCGCTCGGAGCTTCTCGGGATTGAGGGTTAGGCAGTGCGGTCCTTGTAGCATTCCAATCTATATGAAATTCCCGCAGCCCTCACTGTGATCTGGCAAATACGGAATTGAGCCAGGTCGTGAGTGGCAAACGTAGATGGATTATTTAACTTTGCCAGTCAGCGTGCTAATACCCACTGCCAATTGTCTTGGCTTTGTTCTTCACCGAATGATGGGACGTTTTGGAAGTGGCGAACTATGTAAAAGCAGCATACGTCCGCTTCCCTTTAAACAGATCTGCACAAAAGTCACAATTCGACTCAACCAGTAGTTGGCTAGTTGTGCACGCCGTCGTCCGCGACGGTCGATCAGACAGCTGCTCTGCCATAATCAAATGCATATACAGTCATTAGTTCAGAGTTTTTATCGTGTCTTTCCTTGTTAAAACTATATCTTATCGATAGGTACGGTCGAGTGCAGGTCAACTCTCTTATCGGATAATGTTCGAGACGATCTGCGCGATTGAGAGGGAAGAAATCGCATGCCCATTCGGCTACTACCCCCTTGCACATTTTGTTTACGTAAGCATTACGGACCTCTCGAAAGCCGGGAGCCATTGACTGTTGACACATACTGGGACATTTGTTTATTGCCAATGTCCAAAGAGGAGAAGTACTGCAAGGCAAATGAGCTATTTTCGAGATGGTAAAAAACGTTTCATATTCGATTTAAACAAGTGAACTAATCAACAGTTTCGTTACACTTAATGTCTGCTCACACCACTATCATAGAATGCTCGAACAGGTAATATACCCCAAACTACTCAAATAGCGCTTGAATATTTATCTCAATTTCTTCCCACAGCAGTTTTGTCTGAGAAGTACTGCTTTCACTTCTCTGTCGGACGTTATAATTTTCCACATGGATCGAGTTATGATCGTCCATTTAAACGTGTAAGAGCACATACATATTTCGCATTCCGTAACTTTCTGTAGTCGGCTGATCAGTTACCTGTTAATAATACTTCTGCCTTGACAGCCGGTAATAGACACCACAAAACTCATACCAACGATTCCGTACAGCGAACTCGCCCCATCTTGAATCATCTGCTTCCCTCAAATCGATAAGCCCGCAGGGCCTTGAAGCTTCACACTGCTGGTGAAACACGCAATAATAATTTCCAAATTAGTCTCAAATGTAAGCATTCAGACCCATTCATATCCTTCTGCGAGAAGCTGAGTTCTGGGAGGAACTGTATGCTCCACACCTGTAGGTTTTCTCACGAAAAAATAGATATGGTTGGACCTCAGTTTTTAAAATACTCCACGCACCACCCAACTGTGGTACTAGAAAGCTTGTAAGAGTATTCTCCCAGTTGGCGCACTTGTCAATAAAATGAATAATTCGGACTGCCCGCCTTTATTTTAGTGGCCTATAGTGGGATGTAGATAAGGCCAGAAATGAGGAGGCACCGAAACAAGGGAGATGACGTAGAAGTCAGGGGGGGGGGGAAGTTGTGATGGCAGCAGTGTCAACGTGCGCGTAAGTGCTCGAGTGCTATTTTGGGTGGCAGGGCGCAAGCGTGTGTGGTCCCAAGCCCATTGTAAATGTGGTGGTTAGGGTTTGAGCAGTCAGCTCACATAGAAAGTTGAGACGTTGAAAGTTTTGCCTCCACTGAAAGTCAGTCTGAAGGGCCAGTGTGTTGTTTTGGAAATGAAAGGTTAGGCAGGTGAGAGAAAGACTGCAAGTAATGACTCGGAGTGGCGGGTATGTGCATGCGTCGACCCTCGGTTGCATTCTAGGAGGAGGTGAAGGAGGGTCGGAGGCCGTTTTGCAGCGTCAACCGTTGAATTAATTGGATGTCATCAATTATTGATGGCGCCGTTAATCAGTGCTGGCCATCATGTGATCATGCCAGGCGGATGGTGTGGGCCCACTTCAGCCTAAACCCTAGGATATTTGTGATCGCGCAGGCAGTATGTGTTAGCGCGTACCTGTCAAAATGTCGTCAACCTTCTCCCCCTATAGTATACTTGACGGGCCTAGTTCGGCGCCGTCACCGTCGAGCTTCTAGATAGTTCGGTCGTTCATTAATTAAAAGTTGGCCTATTTGTAGAGCTTGCACTTTTTATTTTGGTATACGTGGTAAGTAACTCCTCAGAAAAGTGCAGGATGGAATAAAGCAGTCATGGGGAAGAAGCGTTGCAACTGTTAGTTGGACTAATGCATTCAAGGTTGGTGTCTATGCTTTCTCAAAACTTCTGCCTAATGACATAGTTAAGTAGAGGCGTTAAATAATTGTACCCAGTGATGAGCCGAACCCCTCGTAGCTGTGCCATTCAGTGGCAAAATGTCGGTGAAAAACGCGTTTATGGGCTTTTGGCTAGTATCGGCTCTATTAATATGGTATCCCCTTATCCTAAAATGTACTGTTCCCTTTCAAACTCTGGGAATTATTCGGAGTTAAAAATATACACTGGAAATAAGCCTCCTAATACGATGACTGAACTTCTGAAGGGATTGAATCTCAATAACGTCAAAGCATCTGTAAATAGTTATGACGGCTCTGTACTACCAGTTAAGATCCATCTGACATGCATATTCCTATTAGCTTTAAATTGGCAATAATAAGGCAACATAACTTTTATATTCACGGATACTAAAGTTTAAATCGTAGTTGTCACAGAAAAGAACAAAGGAGTTTGGTCTGTGTCTGAACATCAGCATGAACATTTTGAGTTAGGTGACTGATGCCCTAGGTTAGTTACCGAAATTGAAATCCTACACACCGCCTATACCACCAGATAAATTTCTGTCAGTTTTTGGTATTAATTTTTGACTCAACTCCTGAGAGTCCCGATACAGGTCTACTTGACCCACCTGGATTATTGGTTCCATGCATGAGCACTTCACTTGACACATGAGGATACCGCTGCCACCACTGAAGATCGTTTGATTTTTAAGACCTCCGATGATAGTCGGTATCGCAGACGGGGGTTCTGAAACAAAAATGAAATCTGAATTTCGATTTAACTGGAGTCAAAGCTCATGAGTGCATTCAGTTTCTGGAGGATAGTCATTCACAGTAGAATGCATAATTCTAGAGTTGTAAACATCAGTTACCAATACGGAATGCCTTCTTATCCGGTAGGTTGTATTCGGGTACAATAAAGTATAGAAAATTAGATGATACGACTTTGTGACTGGAAACAGGCGTTTTAGGTTTGGACCCTAACTACCAACACCACTTCGTCCGTGCTATTGTTTACACAATGGATAGATCAACCGCTAATCCTACGACTAGTAATTCTGTAGTTAAAATGGCTTTATGCAGTTTTACGTGGGCATTGGACTGAAGTTAATTCCTAAGGTAAGCCCGAGTTGCCTAATTTTGAGAATCTTACTGAGGATTTTCTTGGCGAACTCCCCATCAGTACTCATAAAACGTAAATTGGTTCTTATAGCTCTCGTATCCAAATATAATTTCCGTTTTCCTAGCTGATTTCGAAGCTCTCCTTGACCCGCCAGGCTCATAAAAATACCGAATAACACGCACATCGACTCAGCTTGATGGCTGAGCAGGGTATCCGCCCCCGTGTGTGTTTTGTATCGCACGTGTGCACACGGCTAAGCGGCCAATCAGTGACGGTCGCTCAACGTCAGTAGATTGTTCGGGAGTTAGTGCGTTGGTAATGGTTCGCCCTAGAGCAAGTCGACTAGGCTCAGTTCCTGAGTTTACCCAGCCCGTATTTGCAGCAAAAAATTCGGAGCCCGTCGCTCCGGTTTCCGTAAACATTAGTAAACGCGGAGTTAAAATGAGGCGAAAGGGGCTTGAGTCATATACAGGTGGATGTGGCTCTCATCGATCTAACTTGATTAAAAGTTGGAGCGCAGTCCTTCCCTGGCTCTGCGGTCGAGGTTAAAGATGCCTCGGAAAAAATAAAAGTTCATTTGTTTAACGAATTCTTACCTTTCACAGTTACCCTGTAAGTGTAGTTGAGGGTCCCCACTGCATTTCGCACTTGGCAAGTATAGTGACCAGTATGTTCTCGGCCAACCTTCTGTATGTGCAATCGCGGCCCACGCACATCCTGTCCGCCAGAGATCCAGTCAGCCACAGATGATCCCATGAACCAAAGGTACTTAAGCGGCGGGGTACCCATGGCCTCGCAGTTCATATCCACTGACGTACCTAGCAGAGCTTCGACTGTGGTCACCTTATTAGTGCGCATATTGGGGTCCATAAAACAGAGCACTGAAACAGAAGAACAATACCAACAAGGAGGATTAAATTTCTGATGTGTCGTCATTTTAGATCGATGATCGCCAAGTACGTTTATCTGAGCTAACATTGTATAATCCTTGAAGCGCAGTCTGATGGTTGCGTTTGATTAGCACGGATCAGAACCACCACTTTTAACTCATAACACCTCGTAACATTTGTTGGGGTTGTCAGATGGGAGTAAATGGAAAATATAAAATAAAGGTCTACTCGAAACAGCATAAACCGCCCGCGTATTCTCTGGTAAGTAACTTACTTTTCTGAGGGTCGTTGGAGTGTTCATCGGTCTTTGCGCAGAGTAGGTCGGCATTTGTGTCTGGGAAAATGAAAAGGACGATCCTGAACAATGGGTAAATTCTATGGATCGCAGACGAAATTCAGCCAAGTTCATATGCACCAATTATGTCAGTTCTTTTGGATCGCAAAAGTGAGTCGAGTAAATTCCCCAAATAGACGTGCATTTAAAGCAACTTCCTGTCTGTCCTTGAATAGATAACCGACTCGGAGAGTTGACCACGAGAAGCAATGTAGTCTTTTACCAAATTGTTTAAACAGATGGATGGATAAATCATGCTCAGTTTTTCAAAGGTCATGACTGATTCCCTTTCCATAGCAAATTCACTAGTAATACGCTTGACGTGAATGCAGTAGATAGTAAAGTTTCTGCGGCAGGGTTAGACTTAAGTCTAAACAACCCATTCTGACGTATGTGAACTGTTTCTTCAAGCAATGAATTGGTATTTTGCAAGTGATTTCTTAACATGGAATTGTTAAACTGAAACTCTGTGCCGGCATACTTTGGCTTCCGTTCTATATTGGTATTGTTGCGCAGGTAAAATGTGGTTAACGCCATCGCTCCCTGTTAGATTCACGTAGTTCAGGGGGTTAGAGCGTTAGTTAAACTCTAGCCTTGCTCTTGTTGAGTTTTTAGCAAACGGGTCAAACGAAATGGAGATCACTATGTTACCGTACATTTTTTGAGCTACGTTTATACACTGTCATGTATGACCATGCAACTTTCAGTCAAAATGTCTTACGTTGTGATTGGCCTTCTACTTCCAGACATCTGCGGATGTGTAAACAAAACCAATCACTAAACATTTTTGACTAGGTCAGAGCACCATGCCTAGACATTTCCCTACTCAAAGACAACAAATTATATTCAGTTAACTCTTTCCTCAGGACGATCATGCCTAATTAATAATTTTAATAAGAATACCGATTTTCACCAAAGCTAACTGCTCTCTGCGCGCCATATCCACTTTGTCGTAGCAGAGAGTTCAGTTTAAACGTTCACCAAACGTTCCGATGCAGAATAAAAATGTCTGTTCAAATCCATCGTGACGCTTCAGTCTTGAGCGATAGCTAAGACTAACGTTCGAGGACACAGTATCAGACTGCGATTTACCGATATTCCGTAAGGGCGAATTGTTATAGGCACACTAATTGAAAATGGCACTGTTAGCGGGCCTCGTAAATCGGTTTAAAGGATAAAAGGAAAGCGTAGTTTTCATTGGAGTCACGTTACATTTCTATGAAGTGAGGTGGCTCATTTGATATCCGAAGATCAAGCACAAAGGTCCAATTGCCGAGGCTGTGAGTTCCTGCAACTCGTTGCCGATGCTAGAGGATATGTGCGTAAGATACATTAAAATTTTTAAAAATACTTCAAGACTGTCTTAGACGCTCTGACTGAAATTTCCTCTGACAAGCAAACCACAAGCGATTTATCAATTTGGCAGACTAAGCGTACCAGCAATCTGAGGACAGTGCCTCTACTTGTTGTAAAGGACATGTGGTAGGTTTCATATTTCTCTTTAAGACTATATGTCGCCTATTTTAAGAGGACATATGGGTAGAGAAACCCTTTTGACTGGGAAATATTTGTGAAGCAAAAGGTTCAGCCTAGAAGGGTATGCAAAACCACGCTCTTTATCACTCCGGGTCACCTCTAAGTGGGCATTTGCTCTAATGCTTTTAACTATCATTTAGGGCTTTATTTGGGATGTCTGTTAAACTGGTGAGGACGAGAGTTTTCTGATCTCACCTGCAACATAGACCTCAAATGTGACCTCCTTTCGACCAAATCCTGTGACCCCAGAGCAGTGATAAACTCCGACATCTTCCTTTGTAACGGGACCCGTCAGTTCAACGACACGGCCATTTTCGGAAAAAAGGAATCGAGGGTTCATAGCTAATGAGTAGTCCGGAATGTTGCGAATATTCCACTGATACATTACGTCCTCGTCACCAACGCCAGTTCCGTCTAAGAAGAAGGCACTACTAGGGTCCACGTTCGAGGGCACTTTATGCGCGGGCCCCGAGCCCCAGATTGGACATTCGAGACGTAACGTGTCACCGACGTGGAGGCGAATTTGTCGGCTGTGGTTCTTCACAACGGGAACATTGTTATCTGTGTGGGTAGAAGAACACGATTTAATCATACAAACTCAGATATCACAGATTCATTTATACCTGTGGCCTCAACACGCCAACCTTTAGACAGACCAAAACAGGCGAGGTAATTTAGTGCAGTGGACGGTTTTCACGAAATGTGGGCTAGAGTTTCCTGATTGCTGGTGATCATTTCATTGCCCATATTTATACTTACTCGCACATGAGCTTACATCCGTAAATTGGAAAAAAAGTTGTTCCGTAATCTAACTTCCTTTTATTTCGGTTAAAATTATCCTCAAAAGGCCAAGTTAAAATTTATGAATTTGGGACAGCATCATTTTTGCTACATTCGGTGTCCCGATTCTGACAGTTTCTTGGGATGTAGTGCATGCAGCAACTTCTATAGGATTACACGTCTCAGAAGTCAGTGATAAATGTCGCGGCGATCGGACCGGCTAGCAAGGTGCAAGTGGAGACGGGTTGTCGTACCGGTGTGCTGCTGAACGTGGGACGTGCTAAACGCAAGGACGACGGAATTTACGGTATATCTACTATTGCCAGTTCAACCCCTGTCGACTATTTTTTTCCTCCTGTCTGGTGATGTGATGCAATAAGGGCACAAGGTATCAAGATACCAAAATTCTACGAGGCAGCTTGAATATATTTCAAGTAGCAAAGCTTAATTGAACAGAAAGACCTGCATGTGTTATGGACCAAGGTCTGTAGTACAGATTCTCCGACCTAATTCGGAGTTTCTCCAAAATTCTTCGTACAAACTATGCTTTCTTGTTAATGCCAATAGTGAGCCCAGGCAAAATGACTCTCAAGTATGCCTACATAAGATGTGGGATATGATTCTTCAAATTTCCTACTTAACAAAATCTGCAAGCTGAAGCGCGTTTTGACAATGAAAGGGATGACTATGAACATGATAGTCCGGCCCACCATGTTTACTTGGGGCGTGTATTTAATATTAGTTCTGCTACTACCTCGCGCGCTGGTTATGCTCCAACCAAGACACCAGTATTTTAGGATGATGAACTTAAAATGAAAACCCGCATCTACTTATTGACTTCGGTTTTACAGCTTGCCGGAAACCCTCACTGACTAGCAAACTAAAACAAGTGACCGAGACTCATTCCAGTTGCGGAAGACAGAAATGACTTGACTACAAGGCTGCTCAGCACAGGGTGACTGGCTTGCAGGAATGGAATTATCGGAGTACTGATGGTGGCAGGTGACTGATAGAATCTGTCTGAAAAACAGGGGATATTTGCTCCTGAATGTCGTCGTCGTCGTCGCCGTAGTCTGAGTGGTTTCCTCCACGTACATTCACAAACTTGAGAGGTGAGGGAGTGAGTCATGACGAGACTCGTCTTGTCCTCCCCTTTCCTACCTCTAGGAGGCACGGCTGGGGACTGCAAATCCGGAAGGTAAGTTGTGGTGATGGGTGACGTTATTTGACAGCGGGACAACGCCCATATGCGCACATGCGCCGCACGGACACCTGACAGGCACATCCAGCTGCGTTACAGAACAGGACCTGTACGAGGTACGAGTGGGAGACTGTTACTGTCGTAATGCCTGTTTTTTTTATTTCGCATCGCATCGTGAACTTTATGCAGGGAATGGGTCCAGGATTTTGTCAACAGGGGGTTCAACAGGTGACAGTTGTGCAGACCTAAGCAACTTTTCTCCACTATTCGTTGCTGCTGCAGCTTTGGAAGACCTAATGACAGCTTCTTGACCGGCCAGGGACTGCCTGCACTCGCAGTGAGATGTCTGCCTTGTGTGCACACAATGAATCACCACATAACACCCCTCACACTGGGCTGACATAGCCAATTTTTATGAAATAACAGGCTCTGGTGTTGCGATTCCGTTAAGTATTTACAAGATCAAATTATTTCCGACTGTCTGTCAAACAGCCTAAATTGCTCTGGTTTTCGTCGCTGCGTGTTATCTAACCTGTTAGATAAGATGAGGCATTTCATTTGGCTAGATGTCAGTGTCGGACTGCCCGTGAAATCTGAAGCTTGAATCCACTATTTCATCTTATGTAGCCTTAAAACAATAGTTTTTTGGATCGCAAGAGACTCGACGTTCTGTTGAAAATCAGCTTGCGATTTAATTTCCACCAATTGGTTATTTTCGTCGGAAGTTGTCCCCACTCTTCTCCTTCATCTACACGATCGAAGGTTTATTCGGTCGAAGTATACTCCTGTGGATAACAGGAGACATTTGTACGCCACGTATGTCACCTGTCAACGATCTGAACTATGCTCACGCGGTACTGTGCTGAAATTTAACAAAGCCTTACTACCTGATTTCGAGGACACTGATATTACAGACTTATTCGAATAAAAGCTTAAGTGGTCGATCGTTATTAACTGGCATCCAGTTGTTCTTCAAGCCGTGAAAATATCAGTTACGTTTGGGAAGATTTTTTTGCACCACACGTGTAGCGTGCCCATTTATCAAGCCCGATGTCAGAGTGAAGTAAAACCGTTCAATTTTTCTCTTGGAGCTTTGGCATAAAGACGGTCTGACTTTGTAGTCCGATTGAATAACGGTGCGAAAACAGCCAAAAGTAACATCCCAGTCTCCTGTCGTTGCTAGTAATGCACATGGTTACTGATTCCTCTTCGATATGCAACCTCCTTTGTACGTACTAGACTAGGAGTCCGAGGTCGTGCTGAACTCCCGTCTCACAATAAAGTTAAGTCCGTAAAAACTACGTCACATGACTTTTCAACTCGTTTTTTTTGACAGAGGCCACGATAAACAAGTTGAGCACGTTTGCTGTTCCACTAGACTCCGCCTTCGAGGTTTGGGCACTTCTTTTTATTAGGTCATGTGTTCAAACCTCTTAAATAAATCCCCTCGATTGCCGTATAGTAGGAGTGATGTCAATTACTGGGTCATCCATGGCCCAACATTAGTGTGTAGGTGTTGTGTAACACTGGCAGCGTGCCACTCCAAACCCAGTGGGTGGTCACAGTGGTCCGCGCTTTTTGTGCAGGTGGTATGTGTGCCAGAGGAACAGGCAAGTCCTCCCCCATTTCACCCCTCCTACACGCGCACAGCGAACATCTGACGCTCCTGTGACACCCCCTAGCCGGATGAACACCCCGGTGTGAACAAGGCGGTGGGGCGGGAGGGGGGTGGTAGACCGGGCGAGCTAAGAGTGTCAGCCGGGCCGTCGACACCACCAGCATGTGGCACCATCATCCAAACCTCGAGGGGTGAAAAGATTGTCAATCATAGTCCGTACAAAGCGAAAAGCTTCCTCGGTCGCTGAAGGCGGAACCGACGAAACAGCGGGAGACGACCTGGCAGACCCAGCCGCATGTGAAGGAATCCGATCACCAACTCCGCCACAATTTACCCCGAAACAAGAAACACCATTTCAGCCGACCATCGAGGGTCTGATTTGCGAACCTGTTCACCCAGCACAGAGTGCTTCGGATTAGTGTATTTTGCTTAGAAGCCAGTGAGGATATTTTTCGCTTGATGGAGCATTATTGTGTTCGTGCAGCGATATGCCTTGCTCTTTTTGAGGGTAGATGATACGCTACCCAGAGGGCGAATAGTGTGGGATGCCAGCCAGTCACGGCATACGTTATCGAAGGCCGTTTGCCCCTGCGCACCAAAGGCGTGCAGGCGCATTCCAGAAAGTCTTTGAACATTTCAGGCCTAGTGGGTGGATTCAATACCTATAACACACCGGTCTGTAGAGCATAAACGCGCTTTTCCATCAAAAGTCACTGTGGAACATAAAAGACATGTTTCAGAGACGGCAGGATCCTGGGCTCGAATGTACAGTGAGAAATACTTATGCACAAAGATTTCTCCCTAAAAGCTTCAAAACTCGGAAAATGATGCCGAAAATGGCGCTGGCTTCAATTGTTAGGGTAAGTTAAATCCCATAGAAGGCTGGCCGCCGGAAATTGGTCATTAAATTCCACGAATGTTGCTTGGGTGCACCGGCGTGGTCAGAACAGCTGCATACGTCATGGAGCAGCTAATCGATGACATTGCAAATTCATGAACAAACAGTAGTCCGAAGACGATTTGGCCTAGATGGTAGACCTGCGGACTCACAGTCTCTTCGGGAGCGTACGATTGCTAGGATTTCTGTGCATAATAAACCCTTGTGGTCGTTTTTCACGCATTGCTCCTAAGCAATATTTTACCTCGAAATAGAACCACATTTAAACTTTTTGAGTGCTACAAGGTAACTGGGCGAACAACTCTCAGTTGCTTTTAAGTGACTTCCGTTATCCAAGAAATATGTCTACCTCAAACTGAAGACGTTTTCGGTACCTCTTTGCCTGAACTACCCCCCTCACAAGTGTTCATTTCTTCAGAATTGGGACATTTAAAAACAACCGCCAGGAGAAGATGAGCTTCGAAAAATGTAGCAAGAGATCTGCTTTGTTCGAATAGAAACTATCTCCCGATGCAATGCCGCCTATCACTTGGACCTGACGTTTCTTGGGTTGGTTGTATGGTGTTCTGGACCGGTTGCCAGAAGGTCTAAACAGGAAGGAGCGTCGAAGATTTTCCCAGACGCAGTTCAAGCAGTAGTTTTTGTTACTTCCTGCCAAGTGAGTTCTTCTTTGCACTAATAATGGTTTCCCTTTATCCCATACGTCATTTCACAAGGACGATTGGCTTAGGCCGACCGATGAGATAAATATACGAGGAATGCTGATCGATGAGCCCCAGTCCTCCACAGCCTCAATACTATTAGACCCATTGGTTATATTAAAGCAGAATGGAACTCGTTTGTCCTTTTCTTTAGTGGCATAATAAGAAAAGCTGTATGGTCACTGAAATGCGAGTTGACATAACATGATGCGGTCTGTTAAACAATGCAGGAGTATTCGAACGGTCACCCGATTTCCTTTAAGTCTTGTGAACCCATAATGATTCAGCGTTGTTGGAATTTGATATGGAAGCATGCGCGGTACCTTCCGCAATATACATGATATTCTCTTAGAGTCAGACACGGGAATTTGGGCGTTCTTCGTGCTACCGGTGGCCGTGTTCTAAATTTCATGGAGCGCATCTTCCAGCATCCTAACTCAAACTCTGCTAGCCCTAACCCACACACTAACCCTCCCCCTGATCCTAGTCTCAACCTTCATTGCCCCAATTCCCTAGAACTCAGGGCAAGGTCACCTGTAATAGGGGTGTTACTATTACCGTATCCATTCATCTGAAAAAGAGGACTTTGAAATTTTCGGCACTTTCAGGCATTCTGTTATTTAGCTTTGTTCATTAGACGCAGCTGCAAGTTTAGTGACAAGTAGCACAGATTTTGCCCAAAAGCAACCGTGGGCCTGCGTATCTTGATGCTTCGGAGTCTGAATTTTCCCTATATATTTATATACCAATGTGGTAATTGGCTGCTTAACTGCGTCTTCTTGACGTGGTCGACGAGCCATCACTAATGCACTTTGGGAAGCGCGTCAGCCGTTCTCACCCAAAGAATGCTACGAAAATTACCTCGAAGTAAATAAGTCGTGAAAATGCACGTTTTGGGTAACTGTTTTAACCTCCAAATAACAAAGACCACTTCCTTTTAACGATTTACACCCCTGCCACTCGTCGTCAGAAAACTAAGGCGGCGCTTTAACTGTGCCTCACGTAGATCGCCACGTTAAAATTGTCTCCCCTGACAGATGCAGGCCGATTGGTGTTTCGGTCAGCTACCTGGTTCCGCTGTCCCTTCTGAGAAAAAACGCAAGGTGTTATTTTTCTAGTCGTCTGCATGCGAATGCATAGCTACGGGTTCGCCAACGCCAAACCACGCAGCTCAGACGCTTGTCCAGTGGACGATAAACCTGATGCTGCTGATGCCGGGGATGACAACCTTACCCTTACCTACTACTGTTAAGAATGATGATGAGTTATATGATTAAAGTTTGGGGAAAATAAGAAACGTCGGCGGCCCCTTGAGACAAGATGGAATCCAGTGGCTTGAAACGTGATTCAACTCAATCCTAAAGTACAATATCTGCCATGCCTTTGTACAGCACGCTGGCGTTTATTGGAATTGGACAGCTCATTATGGTTCCGTCCACTCTTTCATCCTGACTGGACTTTAGGTGCTCGGCTAGGCGGGTCGAGAAAGACATTCTTCTGACTGTTTGATGCAGCTGGCTTGTGCTCTCTTCAGGCGCTTGTCAGCACACGACAGCAAAATTTTACAGCAAAGAGTATTGGGTTTTTGAGCGACCATTTGGGCAAGCATGTGTCCTCACGTAGAAACACGCAATGATTAAGCCTTGAGCTATCTGAACCACGCATGAATACACCGCTTGCCCGCACGTGTCCCAAAGAAAGAAACAAACACTTCACTCTACAGAAGTGGGAATCCCCCGAAACGTTATGGCCCACAAAAAGTTGAGGCTTCCGTCGATTCGGTGACAGTGTTACTCAGAAAAGCATACACATGCTCCGCCCGAATACGAATGTGCTGTAGCGCCTTCTTGCGATGCACGCACCCAACTGTTGTTTCGGGTATGTGTGCAAACATAAAGTACGTGGACGACCGTTTGTAGAGGGATATTTATTAAAGTTGACTCACTGTCTCTCCTGGCATGTCAATCAGTTGAACACAAGTGAAAAGACAATTAAACACCATGGACGTCCGGAAACAGTACAGGGAACAGGAATTTTAACAATCTTCTTATACAGTGAGGGATTGCTAGGTCTAAACGGATCTGTTAAAATTCCTAACGTAAAGAAGAGTCTTGGTTCCTTAACTGTATACCTCTTGGCCTCTTGCGACAGTCAGTCGTTCTTTATCGGTGGATTGAATGGTTGATTTCTCATTCCTCTTCGGTTTTCATAGCTCCTGACTCATCCTGAAACGCATAGGATTGGTCTGTGCGCTATCAGCAAGAGGTAGCTTCTTGTTGGATGCAGTGTATGCTGGCGTCTTTTGTTTCGATTCTCAAAAGTTAGCTTCCTCGACTGCGACGGAAACAGTGGCCGCTCATTTGAATTTACGTGGAATTATGGGGTCAGGGGGAAGGGTAAATGACGCCAAAGGAGAACAACAGGCCATGTTCTGGTCATTCTAACAACGCAATATGGATTCGTAGGTCGAATTTCATATTTCTATCAGCAGTTTCCCTAAATAGCAACACGGCTTATAACTTGCCAGGGTGGACGTACTCCAAGACAATTCGACTGTTTCTGTCCGATCGGCTTCTCGGCCTCTTTTAGACCTTTGCTACCGATGAACTCAGTCGAACGAGTGCGTGCCCCTTTTCATCGTGACGTCGTTGTTTACCTGCAGCCACCGAACTAAGCGAAAGAACTATCACGTGAGAGGCTGGACGATATATATATGACGAAACGCAGAGCATTCGCGAAACCGAACATGCCATAAGGCTGTTTTAGTCTTACCGCAGAACCCCAGGAGCAGGTCCGGGAAACCCGGATGGTGACCTTAGCTCCGATGTCGGTGGCAGAACAGGTCTCACAGGGGCTGGAAACTGCTGCTTTTATCCAGCACTGACCGACATTTGTGCGTCGTGGCGTCGACGAATCGTCGGTTATAGGCAGAAAGAGCATGCTGCAGCGCCTCTATATTCTCGAGGCAACCTTCCTGGATGTATAATTCATCGGCCAAGAAGAACAAGGCAAAAGCTACCCTTTTTATATGCCCATAAGGCGGAGTCCTGACAGTGCGGTCAAGATCACGGTTTACTGGAATACAACTAACATTACACAATTTGTCAGCTTTCCCAGTTATCATCCGATAGTCCAAAAAGAGACTACTGGGGTACCCTTCAAACAGATTCAGATGCACTGCAGCTACTGGAAAGAAAATAAGAGCGAGGCTCCGTGTCTCTGTCACCACTTTGTGCAGGATGGCTGTCCGAGGATCTATATAGGGCCTTACTACGTGTTCGCCCAGAGGACCCAAACAAAAATCCCACAGGGGATGTGGCATGCTCTGAAACATATTAGAAGGGCTTTGGAGACGACCGAACGCTCTGTTGCCGGACTAGGTGTTGGAATTTCACGGCGATCCAAAGCTGCCGTCCGCTACCGCGTCATAAACTCGAAGGTTCCATAAGATTCTAGCGAGTAACTTGGTTTAGGTCATTGTATCCCGTACCTAAACCATCCCTGTGATTGCGCTGTTCAGTCTGGGAGCAAGTTGGTTGTGCGATGGATAGCACTGCCACATGTGGCTGACTACGTCCTTTAAAGGCGTCACGAGTTTGATCTTCCAGCAACCGAGGTCTCGTGTTCATGGCTCCTGCAGATTACGCATGCATTTTGCGTTGATTAACGTAAATTAACTGCCGAAAGGTGTTGAATGGCATTACGAGGAGCGTTACCGACAATGACGGGCCACCGCTAGTTTATCAGTCAGCATTAGCGAGTTAAACTTCAATGGCATACGACTGCCCATGTGGGTTGTAGATCCAAATTTTCAAGGTAAATTCTAGTCGCTTGCATTTCTTCCTGCAATCAGGGCAGGCCAGTATACGCTACCTCCTTACGTGTACGTTCTCGTCTAAAAAATAAGTCTGCGAGTTCATTCTGAAACTCTGGCCTCTAACACAATCTTATATTCACGCAAAACAGTGTCTATTACGCAGCAATCTTCCCTTCCAGCCTGTGGAGCTTCCTGTAATCAAGTTTTCAAGAAATTGAAATATCGGATAATGGCATTTTGTCCGTTTGCGCTTAATAATGCGGACTATTTAAATTCTTGTGTTCGGGCGGACTTAAAGCAAATGCAATTTTTCGCCAGTAACTTCTTTACAGTCTGAATTATATAGTTCGCGTGAAATAATTAGTGGGTCTCACGTACTTACTACCCTCAGATGAGTCTTCGGTGGGGAAACGAATTTCCACAGGACCTAATTAGCACCTTGTAGGGTAAATAGGGCGCGAAAGGATTCACAGATAATTTCTTCCCGTTCTAATAGCTAGCCAGGGTGCGAAGCGAATCAGGTCAAGTTATTGAGCATGTAGCAACATGCCACAGTCCTGTGATGCCCATGGGAGGCGCTGCTCCAGCGCCGATGCCAGTTTCATTCACACTCACACAAAGGGTCCTTCAGGTTGACCTTAGAACTTGCACCCCCCGCTGTGGGGACGATTCTCGCGTGCCACTGCTTTCCGAACCAGAAAACCTTCCTGTCACACGTTGCCGTATCAACTATTAGACTGGGCCTGCTCTTCATCCAAGGTTGAAGATACAGCTAGAGTCTACTATTCCGCCATTGTAGTGATATTATTAGAGGTAGTAGTACAACTATCCACAATGAAAGACGTGTTAGTAATAGTAGTAGTAGTAGTGGTAATTCTTAAGTATCCCTCGTGCTGCGGTCTCCATAGTCACCTTGTCTGCTCTTCGAAACCTTATCCAAAAGTGCTAGTCGGGCGGTAAGTCTGATGCACTGTCCCAAAGTTGCGAAGGTCCGCAATTTGCCCCCTTTCCGCAGACCAGCAGTCAATGTAAAGGGCATGGAAATGCAATGGAGAATCCCTGCACAAACATACAGAACGCGGAGAGACATTGTCTGTTTAGTTTTCTGACAGCCGCTGTCAGGTCGGACAAGGGGATAGTTTTCTGTAAACGCACTGCAGAAGCCAACAACAGATCGCTAGTCGCCCGCGGGGCGGACAGCAGTTTATAAAACAAAGTAGCTTGAAGTGAATGTCGCTGGAAGGCATCGAGGCTTTCGCGTGCAGTATACAGCTTGGTTCAAATATTATTTCATGCGGGACAACGGTATCGTATGTGAGCCAGCTGATAAAAAAGGAATAAAAACGCCTGCAACCAACAAACTTGACGTTAAAAAGCAGATCACAACCCTAACCCCAGAATCACAATCATAACCCAAATCTTGACCGAAACCCTAACACATAGACCTAACGCTAACCTAAACACTGACCCTAAATCTAATCCCATGGCTAAATCTAACCCTGACCTTAACCCTTAAATCTAACTTTTAACCTAAGCTTAAACTTAATCACTACCATTACGGTTAGACAAGCGGTAGCGTTAGCTTTATGAGAGGGCTAGGTATGAAGTTCCAGGAATACGTCAATTTCAACGTTAATCATTCCATGAGAATTGTGTTTTCCTTACCACATAATGCTAAGTATAGTCTGTCATTGGGCAAACCGTAACGAAGCATATCTAGTTGAACTAGGCAGGCAGGGCTTTAAGCCTAACGAGCAGGTGAGGCCATTAGATTTTTGTTACCAGAAGTGGCCGGAAAAGTTAAGGATAGACATATGAAATTTCGTAGTGTGGGATAAACTGGTTTAACTTCAGAACCCTCTTTCAACACGAGCTACGTGAGATGCAGAGGGTGAATGCGCTCAGTGGATGGCCTTATAGATGTACAAAAAGAGGATAGGAAAGTAAAAGGGTTGAAATGATTTCTGCGATAATTAGTCGTTTTCGTCTGCTTAAAATACTCAGCCGACCTCCGCCCCGTCTTGGCCAAGGAATTCAGAGTTCGAAATACAAGTTGGCATTTTAGAGTGAACGAATGTCCGAAGCTTTAGCATTGGGATACAGTTCAACATGTACGTAACTACAGTCGGAACAGTAGCAAAAGGAATTTTTCAAGACGTTCCTATTCACGCAATTTCATACTTACGTTACAAACTACCTGCGGCTACGCAATCCCCGTGACGGACGGATCACGAACTAGAAAACACAACTGCAGTATCTATATCTGGAAACTCAGTCGGTTCTACCGACGTCATCAGCTGGACAGTTAGAGGATGAAGCCTAGTCGGGATCAACCGGCAGTGAATCTGGCCAGCACAGATAAGATTTTTAGGATTTAGTGAATTCCAGAAAGATTTAATTTCCGGATATTCCGATAAGGGACGGTCGCTCAAGTACAGGACGTTTGAGGAATACAAAATGCCACATTCTGTGACAGCCTACTTGCTCTGAAACCGTAAACTCTACTATCGCTTCAATAGGGTTGAATGCGATTGCATTGGCAGCATGGCATGGAATATAATTAACTTCCCAGCCATCATGAAAAAGGCATGCTGCGGACCTGACTTGAGACATTTTCCGGACTGCATGATCGGAAACTTTCCGCATCGAATGATATTCTGCGCCTTTGCACTATATGCCTAGAGCGCTAGAAAGATAAAACTATCTAGCGAAACTATGAAAGACCGATGGAGTTTGGTTACACTTGCTGCAGTGAGAACATTTTGGACTGCACAGCACACTCGCCATCATTAGCAGTATAATCCGTAAGTTAGTGATGAACCCGCAACACAGAGAATGACACCTAGCCCAATGGAACCGCAGCACAAAAACACGAAACTTTGGCAAACATCAATCAACAAAGATATAAAACAACATTCAGCGACTCCCCCATGTGGCAAGTCTGGCATTAAATCAGAAGGCACTTGGCCTGGCCCGTCAGCGGTTCACAAAATTATGTCGAGTGGGTGTGGAGGACAGCAGTGCAATGTTGTCTGCGCCAGTAAACAGTGAGGTCGTTGCTAAGCCGTGGCCTATTCACGCTCAGTCTGTTGTCTAGCTCTAATCACTAACAGGCCTAGGCCTCTGCCCAGCTGATGAACGCCAGAGGAAGTGGGCAGGATTCGAACTGACAAGAGTTCTTCTAAAGGTACGAGTTCGCTGACGCACAACGTTCCTAAAAGTTACACCTATTGGGTCTGCAACACGCCATGTAAAACGGTACCTAGCACTCTGAGCTATTAATTCCATCCGTATGTACAGTCTGTGTTTTGCTCTTGTACTTTTCGTCCAAAGTTGTCTTGTTGAGTCGATTGCATTTTTTACGCTTAGAACCGGGTGGCAAAGCATCTAGCACAAAATACATCTTTTACAGGAACGACCAGTAACACCTTGAAGTCTCTTAGACTGTTATTGGATGTAAAGAGGACTTGAAAAACTGCTAGAGCACGAAGAATGATACCGGACTGCCAAAAACCATTAAAGGTGAGCTAAAACGTAAACACCTCATTCCTATGTTGTATTCTGCTAGTTTGGAAACTTTTCAATGATTTACCATTTCCAAGACACGACTCTATACTGTTTTGAAGCGGATGCCTCGTGGATTTGTCTTTGGACCAAAGTCGTGGTCTTTAGAATTCCAGCTCATTTAGTGCGCACTTAAAAAGCGCTTTAATAATTGACATGGCTTCTGAACTAGTTTGTTTTTTTTTCGCCCTGTCCGTGAGAAAAACAAAAACAACTGAAGGAGAGTGCTTCCACCAGAAAGAGTAGGTTATAATTGACCTCGTGCCCGCATATAATAACGTAAACTTACTGCCGGTGGCGAGAGAATAGTTGATAAGTAGGTGGAGGAGGACTGTGAGCGTTGTACATGGTGTCATGGCAATTTGAATACCTAAAAAGTGGAGTTTCATTCGTGAGGAAAATAAAATAGTGTGGATTAGAGAAAAATAAACAGTTTTTTCTATGCACTTTTCTAATTCCCCAAGGACGGGCTATGTCCTGTAAGCATGAGGAAGTTGCAGGAGCTTTTGAATGCTGGGTTATTCAACTAAAACTGGGGACGTTCTGCAAATTTTTCGTTTTCAAAACCACGGGTTGTCTACCACAGTTTCCTGCATAGCGAATTTTATACAACTAATGAGCTATCTAGCCATCACTTGCTGCAGGGATTTTTGTGTGCAGAGGATCAGTAGGCGTCGCACTACTGCTGTCGTTTCCACTGGGGCTAATGGATGCCACCACAAGGACTTTTGTTAGTTTTGCGTCGATCTAAGAGATTACTTTAGTGGATATCATTCATCTTGTGGTTGCCGATGGTATCGGATACTCGCATCGTCCGGATGAGAAATTATTAAAGACACGTGTGTTCACCTTTATCGGCCTATGGAAAATGGTTTCTTTACTTGATCTGTCAGTAATCGCAGTATTTGCGAAAACGACGCAACTCTGGCTGGTATTTTCGATGTGACGTTTGCGCAGATGACGTTGGGCAACTGATCGACACGAAACAGTGGCCCGACTCCATTACTGCACAGTAACCCGCTGGCTCTTGAATATACAACTTTCCAGTCGCCTTTATAATTAATATAATATTAAAAAAGTCTCGCTTTAGGAATGTGGATTCTTCCTACCGCTTCTCGATATCTGTATAAATTAAAATGTTTTGCTGAGATGACCAGAAAGTTTATATTTGTATTCAGCTTGCAGACGATTGTGCCCGCTAAGCAAGCAACTTGATTCACATCTATTGCAGTGTTCCAGAAACAACATAAGGTTAATTCGGAGGGAGGTGTAAGGGTTGTTTGAAGGTGTTTCAGAGGAAACATGGAATATGTAGTCTAAAGATCTTACGAACAAGCCAAATCTGAAATTGGTTTTCAAACTATGCCGATATTGATAAACCTGTCAGGGAAAAGAAACCACTTTCCGACTCCGAGGGTCGGCTTTGAGGTTGGGGTTAGAGTCAGGAAAGGAGTGTATTTAACCTCCCTGGAGTTTTACGTAAGGCCACCTGTATTATCGGGTGGTTCCATCTTCCTGTGTTTGGTCCGTATTTAAAACAGAAACGACTCATCTCGTAGCTGTGTAAAAAGGATATTTCAAATATGGCGAGTGTTTAAACGAAATATTTTGCAATCGTTGTTGAAGACACTATCGGATTGACAAGAGTATACAGAAATTATGCGAAATGAACATTGCTTGGGTGCCGATTTTTGGCCGTGAAATTTTCGTAACTGACTAGAAAAGCGTTCATAGAAAAGCCAAAATGCCGCAAGGTGAAACCCGACGTAGGCCTTTTTTCACTGCTAATAAATTTTGCAACCTAGTCCTAACAGTAGTCCTTCATTTGAATGCCAGAAGGATGATGTGATTTTAATATCTAGTGATTTACGGTGTACACTGCAATCGTGCTTTTCGTCGGAAACTGCTGTTAACATTGCCTATGTGACCTAGGTATGATAAAACCTCAAACAAGTAGTGAATCTACACTTAGAACCATTTGAGGGTATGTGCGAATTCGTTACTACTGCTTTTGAAGGGCCTTAATAAAAAGTTTAAACAATTTGGCCACCAAAATCCGGCCGTGTAATTGAGAATAAAACCCGTACCTACAAAGCTCCGGATGTGCATTCTTCCTGTGAATATGCAGCTGGCACGTCTATTTCAATGTAATAATTTGCCCTAACCGAGTACAGAATTTCGCAAACTGGGCCTTGGTTGGATTCAAACGCATGACATAAAGGATCTGATTTTACAGCAGCCAACACTCTAACCACTTAAACTAAGATTTCTCGACCGAATGCATAGAAATCTGTACCTATGGACTGAGTTACCCGTCTAACCTACTGTAGCAAGTCTGCTACAGCAGGTTGAGTGCCCAAGCGGGTTTTCTTAAGCGATCAACCTGCGATCTACCAGATGACTATCAGACAGGCCGAATTAATGGGTTTTGTGGGGGATTTGAACATTTTAACGGAGAACCTAATTGTGAGAACCTCCTTAGTCACTGTGGGACGTAAATTTACTGATAAAAGCCTGGGTGATTGCTAAAGATAACTTTTCTGGGCTTGAACAAGCGTTGGTTGTCTGACTCAACGAAACATTATTGCGTCAAACTAGTCTGTTGCTTTTATGAATAAACATTTTAGGAGAATTATCTTCTGACATGACCAGAAACACTGTCCTCTGACACATTGTACATATTTAGGTCCACAGGCTTTACGCAGATAAGTCCGTATCAAAAACATCTCATAACATCCTGGCCACTAAATGGCTGCCTACGCAACAAGACCCCATCCACATTAACACTGATGAAAGGATACACGCGTTCAGATGCCAAAACGACGGGCTTTGGGCAGAGACAGCTCATTTGCAATTGAACTTATTTCTAAAACAGTAGAGGACTTTCGTCAATATTCGTGTTTATAGAAAGCTCGCGCTGATCCCCAGCTGAAGGGACGGACTTCTGGTGCAATTCCACAATACTTAATAGTTTTCAGAGTAGACCTGTGAATAATGTTGAGGATGATGATAATCAGGATGTTGACTGTAGCGGTAATAGTTGTACTAAGGGTGTTTGTGATGCTGATGCGAATGAAGAAGGGGACGCTTTTGACAATTTCCATTTGTCACATTTTAGTTTGCAATAATTTCGTCTAGTACTCGACTAAATGTCACAAGTAGACTAACACGAGTGTAAGAAGACTGCCTGCCTGCTTGAGGAGCATTCAACCACGAACTCTTTTTTCGCTTTTGCGCAGCCGAATCTGTCCTTCCACCACCGAGTTTCGGAAGAGCGAAAATCGCTGAATGTATATTGCAGAGATTTTCAGGTGTGATCGACAGGATTTTTTCACCATTTGGGTAATATGGGGTTATGTAGCCCCACCTGATGGACACAACACTGTTGGTGTTGGGGTTAGGATTAGGGCAACTATTTCTCAACCACTCAAAGAACAACGGCGCATTCGCAACAGCTTTTCATTTGCATACAACTACCTGACCTCGTCGCCTGTACGTTCTCCGGTCACACTTGTACAAACCGCTATTACCACCGGTCTCGTATTACAGGTGGCTGGGGTTCGTTTATTTCGGGTGGGACTGCATAACCATGCCTGACCGCTATTTGTCTGCCGATACGCTTCGTTGCTGAATCCGGTTGACATAGTTAATAAAGGTACTGCAGAAACTGACCATTCTATTTTATCTTATTCAAAATCATCCAAAAGGATGCACAGTACTGTTGTCGTCCTTGTGGCTCAGAGACATAAGAGGATAACAATGTGCCTTAATTGCTTATAACAGCAATAGTAATGTGCTTCTGTACCGAGATTCACTTACTGTCACAGACATACGCAGATTAAGTTAAGGCTAAAAACGCTGGCACAAGTGTCAAAAAAATGCGAGCTCGCAAGTGAGCAGTTTTGTCAAGAAGGATGCACCTTCAGCATGATAGTCTTTAGCTCTTGTTGGAGTCTAAAAACCTCAACTGCTGCGAGCAAATACACAGCACAATGAGAGGATTCCCTGATCCTCAAGGTTTTGACAAAGATACGTTTGCCATCTATCCCAAACCACTGAACATTCCAGTCATGACGTTTGGCCAAATTCGACCGTGACATTGAACGTGAAGTCATTGACTGATAACTATAGGCCAAAATAGACCGTGTACGATCAAAATCCTTGGTACTAATGATGAGAGCCTGTCTTAGGTCCAGCGAGGCTAATAACAGACGGATCACTGTCATAAAGATCTCTGGGGACGCCAAGGTTCCAGTTATGTCAGTCAGACATTCACTATCCGGAAATGTCAAAGCGAAAGTTAGCTAGTTTTCATATCTTGCAATGGAAAGAGGTCAACAACCCATAAATGGAAAAACAAAAGAATGGATAACCGCATTTCAGGAAGACCAAATAGGGCGGTCTCGAATAAACCTAGGATTGGAAAGAATAGAAACCTAGCTGCAAAAAAGTGACTATGCTATTACGCTGCCCGTGGGAAGAAGCGTCTTTTGCCCGTGGATTTAGAAGTGCATTTGTCTGACGGAGAATAATGCAAAATTCAGGATGGGGATGTACAAGTTATGAGGAAGGACAACTGCAAAAATTCGTTTTAATTTTCGCTGAAATCTCGTGTATGCATCCGAAAGCACCACGTCATAACTGTCTAGACGTTTCAATAATCAGGTGCGACAGAGCCGGCCTCCTCAAAAACCAAAGTTGCTTCGGTGATTCATGCACTATAAACAAACGTGTGAGTGGGCGTTTTCGAAATTCAGAAATCTTGGACATATTCCCGAAATGCGGTTTAGGTGATGGCCCAAACCGATATGCACATATATTTCGCCCAAACTTATTGTAATTACCTCAGTGATTTAGGTCAGTATTGCTGATTACTAGCATTTAGGTCATTGTTAATTATGGCTGCTATTTTCAGGTATTCACTCACGTCAGTCCCTAGAAAACGACTTTTACGGAATTGTCAGTTACGTTTCTGTGTTAAAAGCACGATGCAATAGCCTGCGAAAATCGGGCTTAAAGGTGCGAAAAGCCTGGCTTTACTTCCGACAAGGAGCACAGCTTTGGACCAAACGCTCGATCGTTTGAGTTTGGCTACGTTGACTTAGCCCTGTGGTGTTCTGAGAAATCCATGTAGTTCTTCTCCAATAGAAAGTAAAATGATGCAATGAGAAATCGGAAGTTTGCTTTTTTGTTTCCGTGAATCATTGTCGAATTTTACAGGACTATGTCAGGCTGGCAATTTTCCAAAGGTCACCTTCTTCGCTTTACTCCAAGCATTGTTTGCAGTGTTGAATGCCACGTCTGAACTGTTAGATATTCAGGAAACGCCGATTTCTGAATCGCTGACACTATTTTC